AGTTTTGTCGAGCGTACTTTGTATGAGAGAAAATGCGCAGCACTATCACCAAAAAAATTGTCAAAAATCACCGCTATTTTACACACTTGAAACTTGCACTTTATTGTACCCCTTTGTTGGCATTTTTTTAACTCTGTATAAAGTTTTAAAATCGGATGTAATGATTATTCAATAAACAAAATTAAAAGCGTAAATACTAAAGATTAAAAAGTTGAGCTATTCAAATGACGAGGAGTGTATGTGGCGTACGTTTGGGAGAGTGAGCCTTTTTACTCCAGAATGCGTGTGCAGTGGGTCTCATTGCTATACGTGTATTAGTAAGATTTGTTGCACCCTTCCCGTTTGCCCATGATTTCCCCCTGATCAAGCCCGCGGAATGGGCTCGCTTGCCATACGGGCAAAAGTGCCCATGTCTGGTTAAGATGATCGGTGATGGTTATGTTTCCCACGTTGGATGAATCTGGTGGCTCCGTCACGATGATCGATGATATAAGGTTGGCTGCTATGAAGATAAGAAGGCCGGATACGAATGTGCGTAAAGAATAGTTCACTGTAAATCGGTACGCGTTCCAGCAACTCCTGTACAGCAATTGTAGGAATGTTTAAAAAAGTTTCAATGTAGGTCGTTAGACAATAGATGTACCATTTTATAGTACTGGCTTTTAATTTGACAGTTTTATTCGCGTTGGAAGTAGCTACTCAAAAAATAATGTTGAACAAATTCGTTGAAAATCCGACATTTTCGAGATCAAATATCAAATTGAAATTAAAGATACCAATAACTTCTAAGTTTCCTCCATAAATTAATGAATGGATTCCCTCTGCTTAAATAAGCGGAGTAAACTAATTATTAAAAAGCATCATTCCGTACCAGCTTAAGAATAAGTCGCTTTACCTCACTTAGGAAAAAAAAATCGACTTATCAGAAGATCGCGCGAGAGAATTGGAACCCGATTATCCCCGGTTCAGAGAATGCAAGCTATAGCAAGACTTAAACCTTATCGAGTTATTATATACAAATTTAAGTTACATTAAATAAATTTAATAACAAAAACTGCACTCGTTTACTTTACCCCAATGTTTACACCAAATTTGGTATTTTATAATAATGACTAATAAAACATGTTTAAAACTTGACTTCGGTCAAATTCCACGTTAAAAGTTTTAAGCTAAAAAGAAACAGGGTGATATCCTCTTAAAACTAAATTTATAAAAGTTTACACAGTTGCCAAGGGGCTATGAAATGACAAGAGAATCGAGGCAGTCTCAATAAAACTCGATCAGACTCCACAATGGGTCATATGAACCCAGAAATTTGCTGGAAGGAGCGTTTGCACAAAGTGTTATTCCATTGTATCATTCACTTTAGACCTTTTGTAAAGTGTTGGTTGGTTTTTATGACAATTAATTATTCACAACTGACTTTAAATCGAATTGAAGATAATCATGTGAATAAAGTTCTGGAAGTCATCAATTTACGAATATGACCTATTTATTTACGTCAAATCGAAAAATACATGGTATTTATTTAACACAAAATCAGTAGAGATGTGCGAACTGTTGAAAAACATAAACTAAATATAGTTTAGTAGAGCAAGTTGACTACTCAAGTCTCTAGAACGGGTGTTCAGAAAAATTGTATCATTATCAAAGAAATTATATGTTATTTATTTATCCAAGCAAAATATGAAACGTTCGCTAATATGTGTCTATAAAGGAGTCTTTTCCCTTTATTTTAATATATTAAATATTATTTTCTGAAAACCTGTTAAAAATATATAACCATTTCATGCGTACCGATTTGGAGTGAACTATGCTTTAGCGGTTTTATAGCCATCATTGGAAATTCCAATTGGAAATGAAAGCAGGGATGCATTTCTTGACCATTTCCAAAGGGATGCTTGTGTGATTGAAGATGCGCAGGGATGCATTCTTCAAGTGGGCGAAAGTCACTTGAATAGTGATCATATACTCATCATAAAATTATTCACCAGAACTACATATATATATAAATTAGCTTTTATGATATATATAGTTGGCAACCCTATTCAAAAATTTGATTATTTAACATTCATAGAGGAATAATTTATTGAAATTACATATGACGGCGCTCCGTTAGAAATAACATGTATATTTATTTCGTTGCAAGTTGGTGTTGAGGCAGGATCGCCGTTAATGTTAACGCCGGTTTCCATTATCTTAATTAATATTAGATCAGATAGTTTTCTCCAGGTAAAGCGTAGTGTACAACCGCGCGTCCGTCTTCCACAAGTATTTTCACCATAATGCCTTACTCAGTTCAAAACGCGCTTCATCCTTCTTCTTGTACTAGTGTATTCACCAGACACAACTCTGTGCATACACAGTATTTTTACACAGTAGTTTGAACACACAATAGTTGGTCATGTAACATGAGATGCATATACTATTATATACAGGGTCATTCAGCATTTCCAAATGAGATTAAAATTAGCAAAGTTATTTGTTGACATGGACACGGCCTTCCTGACTATCACACGTCCTCGGGTGTAATACTATAGCAACAAAACAATATTTTACATAAATGAAAATGTTTATACAACAAAACTTTTAAAAAATAATTTTCATATGATAGCTTTCAGTGACAGAGCGTTATTATTAGGAGTAAACTTTCTGAAATCAGGTCTTAATGAAATAGCTCACATAACACGTTTTATTTATTTATAATAATAGATTGGCGCTTACACATATGTTAGTGTTTGGCCGAGCTTCTCCTCCGATTTGTGGCGTGCGCCTTGATGTTGTCACACAAAGCGGAGGGGCCTACAGTTTTACGCCGACTCCGAACGGCGATTGTATTTTTATGAGAAGCTGTTTTTCATGGCAGAAATACACTCGGAGATTTGCCATTGCCTGCCGAGGGACGACCGCTGTTAAGAAAAAACCTTTTTTCTATATTTTTTGCGATGTTGCTTTGAGGAGGGTTTGAACCCAGGTGCTGCGGAGTGGAAGCGCGCACTGCTTACCACTACACCACAGCGGCCGACGTTTTATTTTTATTTTTATTTTTTTATATTTTTTTTTTATTTTTTATTTTTTTTTATTTTTTATTTTATTTTTTTTTTTATTTTTTTTGTTAACGTCTTTTTCAACGTCTTTATCGTCAATAACGCCTCTTTCACCATTTTCATCACCAATAACGCCTCTTTCAACGTTTTCATCACCACTTACGTCTCTTTCAACGTTTTCTCACTAATAACGCGTCTTTCAACGTCTTCATCTCTAACAAGCTCAATTGCACTTTCAACATCGCTCATGTTTAACTCATTAGCAATTTCTTCCTCCGGAAGCTTACGCAAGAGTTCATGTGAGTATTTGTATGTCATTTTGCTACTCAAAGATTTCAATACGTATCTGTCTCCATCCAAAACCTCTGTCACCAAAAACGGACCACGGAACTTAGGATCTGATTTTGTCTGATGTCGCTCTTCATTTTTAAGTAGTACATAATCGCCAACTTTATGTCTTAACAATTTTCGCTTTACCTTTATCAAAACTTTTCTTGTCATAACAAGCATTTTCCTGTATATTTTTAGTTGCTTG